GTGGCTCTGGGAGATGGCCGAGGCGCTGGTCAGAGGGCGGCGCCAGCAGGCCTTCGGGGCCGCAGACAGTGGCCCTCGAGGGTGGGGAAGGGGCCAGGCCCCCATTCCAGCCACGTCAGCTACACCCCTATATTGGACCAGCTTCTCTCCCCCAACACCCACGTTATATCTCCCTGCCAGTCCTCCCCTCCCCCTTCAGCCCCAGAAAAATGCCTCCAAAGTTTGGAAAGTTGGATGGATGCCAACTCACTGTCCTGGAGGGGAGGAATCAGTGTTACCTGGGGGAAGACGTCTGCTGCCCCCACCCCCACTAACACTTAAGTGTTCCCGTGGCTTACTCCGAGGAAGGGGCATTCTTGGGTGTGGTGGGTGCCGGTAGAGTGACTAGCAAAGTCTAGGGTGGTTTCTCTGGGACATGTCCTGTAATCTGGCAACACCCCAAGCTAGGATAGCATTAACTCTTTTCTTGTCATGGCCAGCCTCGAGCAACTGTAACTGCCATGATAATGTGGTTAATGGGTATGTGTTGTGTGTGGCAGGGGTCAGGTCAGACCTAAAAATACCTCCCTTCTCCACCCCAGGCCCCTTGGAGCCTGGGAGGCAGCTGACTGGGGCCTTTCTTTCAGCTGTCCCTTGTCCCTCTGGGTGCCACTCCCTTTTCCCAGCCTTGGGTGTGTGTCTGTGTGTGAGAGAGTCTGGGGCTTATGGGGAATCCTCTTAAGTCTGTAGGGATCCTCAATCCTAGAGATAGGGTATATGTCTGATTTAAAGAGGGGAGTAGGAAGGAGAGTTCTGGGGTTCCCAGATGCCCTTCTCTCCCTTCTATCCATCCTTCTTCTTAGAAGTACTCAGGCCCAGGGAGCCAGAGATCCTAGTCTGGTCATGGCTTATCTACCTTCTTTGGTAAAGAAACTCTAGGATGCAGCCTGCCTGAACCCTCAATCATCAACCCCTACTTTGGACTGGCCTGGCGCCAATGTGTGTATGTGAGTTGGGGAGGGCAAAGAAGCAGCCCCTTTACAGGAGGCCTGAAAATACCTGAATGTGTGGCTGCTTGAGTGGTCAGGCAGTGTCCACTCCAGCCAAGTCAGGAGCCTAGTCAGTGAGACTGAGCCAACCTACCCCAGAGATTTGTGGGGGCTGTGTCCTAGGCTCATCTTGGGGCATGGCTAAATGGCATTCAGATTGATGCAGCCTCGTGGGTACCACGGGGGACAGGATGTTGGCATACTGGGGGTTAGTGGGTGGGTGCTTGGTCCCTCTTGCCCCCTTGGGGAGAGGTGTGACCACCGTGATTGTGAGGAGAGGCATGAGAAAAAAATCCTCCCAGGGTAGGGGGCACTGAGCAGAATTTGCCCCATGGCAGAGGGCCGAGGTTAGATGTTTGCTTTCCAGACACCTTTCCATGCCCCTCATCCCCTCCCTGGAAATCTAGTTTTGGGTCTCTAAGAGCTGAGAGCTGCCCCTCCCCTCCCCACTGCGAAAAAGGAAAACAAGAGTTGGGCACAAGAAAAGCCTAGCTGGGCCCTGTTGGCAGTTGGCAGTTCCTCTTCTCTCTAGGGGCCACAGGCACACTCAGCCCTGCTCTGCTCCAGCTGAGGGGGAGAGGGTGAGGGACTTTCCCTCAGGTTTCTTCACCGCCACCCCCCTAGCACTGCAGGCAGCCTCTCCCTTCCCTCGAGGCCTCTGCAGCTTGCCCAGCATCTTAATTAGCTTTGCTGCCTAATGAGCCTCCAGCTACTCAGCGCCTCCCCCTTCCCTGCCTCTCTGGCTTAGTTTGGGGGTTTCTGTGTGCGCTTCCTAGGGCTCTCTTGCACTGTCCTCCGCCCCATGGCTGTGGTCTGGGCCCTCCCTCCCCCTCGGGCTATACCACCCCAGGAAGAGGATGGGGGCTGTTTAGATCAGGAAATGATATTTCCAAGGCTTAGCTGTAGCTCTGGGCCTGATGGAGTAAGGGTTGGGAAAGGGCCTTTCTGATTCCACTCTTGTCCCTTCCTGGCTCCTCCAGGGCAAATACAGCAAGAGGAAAGGGCGGTTCAAAAGGTCGGATGGAAGCACATCCTCGGATACAACGTCCAACAGCTTTGTGCGCCAGGTAATGGGGAGGCTGGGCTGAGAGGAGGGAGGTGGCTGGCTGATGGAGCCCAGTATTGGTGAGCTGGGTCTGAAGCTTTCTCCAGGCACCCTCCCCCATATCATTTGTCACCTGCCTGGAACCACCCATCACGCTGACACCCCTTGACCTCTCCTACATATACTGTCAGCTGCACCCACTCCCTCAGCCCCCGCCCAGTCCCCGCCTAGCCCCTCCCCCAGCACCAGGCACCAACCCCTGTAGCCTGCCTGCGTCATCTCATTCAGGGACAGCCTGGCCTGCCTCCTTCTAGCTTGCTTCGGGCTGTCACCCACTCCCCCTGCCGGCTGTCTGCTTCCATGTCCTCCCCCAGTTTCTGTAACTGCGTGGGGTAGAGGCAAGTCCTAAGAAATGAGGAGCCAGGACATGAGTCCCTGGAGCCCTGGTTAGGTGTGGGTCAGAGGAATGCCTTCCTCACATCCAGATATGACTGTTCTTTAATATGCAGAGAGAAAGTGTGTTGAGGAAGGTGGGGTATTGGCAAGAGGGAGTTGATTTTAGAAAGGACTTTATCCCAGCACCCCTGACTGAAAGCAAGGTCACTGGATAGCTTTCTGGGTTCTTCTGTACTCAGGAAGATGCCATTCTCATCTCTGTTCTAATTCTCAACCCCAGGCCATCTCAGGCTCAGGGAGAAACATGTGGTTGCTATGGCTACGGAGCATCTCAACAAAGCCTGGTACCCAAAAAAGGCGAGAGGAACTTGGGATCAGGCAAGGAAAAGGAGTACATTGAAGAGAAAATGGGCAGGGCATATGAGGGCAGAAGATAGTTGGGAGCAAAGGCCCTGTGGAGGTCAAGCCCCTCCTTGGCCAGTAGAGAGAGGATGGTACCAGGCAGATCCACCACAGATTGGAGGGAGGCCCTTCATTTTGATTCCTGTTTCCACAGCGCTTGGCACATGTGAGCCCAGGAAAGGGCCCTTCATCCTAGCGTCTCCTAAGTATATAAATAGGAAGTCCTTTCTTCAGTCTCTCCCTCGTCCCTCCTGTTGCAGGGCTGGGCTAGGAAGAATACTGTGCTTTTTGTAACCCCTCTTGACAGAAAAAGGCCTTGGTTCCCTCAGTGTTTGGCAACCCAGGGTGTCAGACCCCAACCTCTAATCCTTGCTCCTCTCAGCTCCCTAGCTCTGACCCCCAGTAGGTGGCAGGGAGTGTGTGTGTGTGGGGGGGCAGTCCTTGCCACATCTCTGAGCTAAATATACCCTAGCAGTTTGCACATGTAGCAACTCTGCTTGTAACTTGAGCCCCCTGGGGGAACGGGCAGTTTGGGCCACCTCTTAGGCCAGCAGGGCCAGGCACTGAGGGTGCTGTGATGGAGGCGCCCAGCCGGACCCTCGTGGTGAGCTGGGGATGGGGGGCGGGGTGGGAGTAGCCCCTAATGAAAGCTTGTGAGAGGGCTTCACTCCAGCCTGTCTCTTTGCCTCCGTGCTGTTTCCCTGTCTCCCGCCATTCCTGATGTGTCCGTGTGCATGCATGTGTGTGAGTGTGTGTGAGTGTGTGTATTGGGTCAGTAAGTACCTCTCTGTCACTCTGTCTCTGGGTCTGTTTCTCTGGCCTCTGTGCATCTGTTTTCCTGACTCTGGGTGAACAGTGGTAGTTGAGCTGGTTTCCACTCTGTTTCCTTTATGTCTCTTTTCCAGGTTCTATTAGTGACTGCATCCCCCACCCCCAACCTATTCCTTCATGAGTCTCCATTTTCATGATTTGACTGGGAAAGGATGGACAACTGCACTAGCTAATGACTAGGGTCCTCTGGGGGAGGTGGGACTGGGTCTTCTCTCTTTCTCAGGTCCCCTCCATACCAAGCTAATGGGCATTTATGGCCAAGCGACCCTTTCACGTCTCAGGAAAAAACCTGCACATCTCTGCAGTCCTGTTTTTTCCCCATGTCACCTCCCACCCCTTGCAGCAACAGCACCACTGCAGTCACACAAATCCACACATCCTGGCTCCTGCCCGCACATGCTGCACACCCTCAGGGACACTGACCCCTAGGGAGCCCCCCCTCTATGCACTCATGTGTACCTGTCTGCACTGAGTCATGACATCCAGCACATACTATAGAACACACCCTCCTAAACAGACTTGAAGTTGCATATCCAAGCACACCCATGAGTAAGTGTGTTCATTCACACTGCGAGTCTGGACAGGCTGCTTGTGTCTTACACGTGTGCCTGCATCACTGAAGGAGTTATGCTCTGGGATGGTCAATGTGGTCAAGACCAGCTTCCTGGCACACCTCGACTTCTGAGCCAGCATTAACCCTGGCGTTAAGGAAAGGCTGCCCCGTGTTCTGCTCTTAACTTGACTCTTCTGCCTGTACCACCTCAGGAAACTTGGACTCTCTTTTGTATCTTATGAGAGCCTGAGGGTTGGGGCTCCCCTGATTCTGCCAGGGGAGGTAGGATTCTGTCTTCCCTCACCCTTGAGCACAAGGTAGCAGAATTTTGGCTCCATCATGCCGAGCAGGCTGCCCACTGCCGACAGTGCAGAAAGCTCAGGCCTACGCTGGTGGCTATAGTCCCTGGAAGGACCCACAGCTTCTCTCAGCTGGTGCTGAGGGTAGGGGAGAGAATGAGGAGCAGGGAGGGGAGAATCGTCCCCTGGCACTCCTCTACTGCGCTTTGTCCCTATCAGGTTCCCACCCCTCCCTGGGCCCCAAGCAGCTGTCCTTGGACCTGCCTTAACCCCTGGCTTGCTGCTCTCACCCTTCCTAGGGCCACACCTTCCCCATGGGCCTGCAAACCTCAGTCCCTGGTTCCTCCCATCTAATACCACCTTCTCCTAGCCCCGTAGCATCATGCTGCGCTGCCTGGGGCTTGAGACATCCATGATGGGTGGCACCTCCATGCCTTCTGAGGCCCAGGAGCTGGGGAGGCAGTCAGCCTTGAGCTGGCCTTATCTGTTTTCAGGGCTCAGCAGAGTCCTACACCAGCCGTCCATCGGACTCTGACGTGTCTCTGGAAGAGGACCGGGAAGCCTTAAGGAAGGAAGCAGAGCGCCAGGCATTAGCCCAGCTTGAGAAAGCCAAGGTGAGAAAGAAGGGAGGAGCTGTGCTATCCTACTTCGCCCATCCCCAGGCTTTAGAGCAGCCTAGACAGACCTAGGGTCAAATCTTGGCCCAGCTCCTTCCCAGCTGGAATACCTCTGGGCCTCAATGTGCCTTTGTCTCTCACCTGTAAAATGTGGGCTACAATACCTGCCTCCTTTTACAGTAAATGTGTCTAATACTGTTTTCACGCATAATAGGAGCTTGAGGAGTGCTAAAAATTACACTTCTTTCTGGAGTCAAACTTCCTGGGCTGCTCTTACTAGATGTGTGATCTTAGGCAAGTCACTTAACCTTTCTGAACTTTAGTTTCCTCATTAATTAAAATGAAGATAATAATACTTTATAGGATTTTTGTGATACATAAATGAGATAATGCATGTGAAACATGTAACACAGTACCTGGCACAATAAATAGTAGCCTATTATTATTCCTTTTGGGTGTCATTCTGGGCTCCCCAACCCCTACTACTTATCACTCCCCAGTGCTGCCCCTCCACCCTTAGAGGGCTGAGTTCTATTTTTTGCTTTCTTTTTAATTGAGAAATTTAACATATATAAACTGCATAAACCATTCAGTGTACCTTTTAATGAACAATTTATAAAACAAACCTCCATGTAATTGCCACCCCAGTCAGGAAGTTGTACAATTTTATATTATGGTTTAACCCTCTGGTTGTCATCCTCCCTGTGCACCTCCTTTAGACCAAGCCGGTGGCATTTGCTGTTCGGACAAATGTCGGCTACAACCCGTCTCCAGGGGATGAGGTGCCTGTGCAGGGAGTGGCCATCACCTTCGAGCCCAAGGACTTCCTGCACATCAAAGAGGTGGAGAGAACACTTGGCATTTGGAGGGAGGTCAGGGTAGTGGGTGCCAGGAAAGGGGCATTCGGAGATATAGTGGAAAAAGATTTCTGAGCCAAGCAGAGCTGGGCTGAGTCTGCTGTGTGACCTTAGACAAATCTCTCTACCTCTCTGAGCCTCTAATTTTTCACTGGTGAAATGGAGTGGTAATGCCTAGGTCGCAAGGTTGTTGGGCGGGATTGTGATGAGGCCTGTAAGTGGAGTGGCAGTTGCCAGGCACATGTAGGTATTAGTCCCCTTTGCAGGGCAAGGTGGACACGTGGGGAGAAAAGACTCAGAACAGGGATGTGCTGGGGGTGGGGTGATCCATGGCCTAAGAGGATGCTGGTCCTGGAGTTGTTCTGAAAACTGGGGCTATACTCAGAGGATGGAGCAAGGGGTGGGGCTCTTTGAGGGTTCCACCACCTGGGCAGGGTAGGCAATTCCAGGAGTAGTTTCCCCACAGGGTGGCTGTTGGCTTGCCTCTCCAATCTCCCTCTTGGTCTCTCCCACCCCACTTGCTGTTGTTTGCAGAAATACAATAATGACTGGTGGATCGGGCGACTGGTGAAGGAGGGCTGTGAGGTTGGCTTCATCCCTAGCCCTGTCAAACTGGACAGCCTGCGTCTGCTGCAGGAGCAGAAACTGCGTCAGAACCGCCTCAGCTCCAGGTGTCTGGCTGGGGGCGGGGCACTGCCAACCCTGGGAGAGGCCATACAGCCAGGACTAGGCCTCAGGGGTTGACTCATTTCCCTGAGGGCACAGAGCTGCCTGTGGCATCAGCGGTGGGGCTGGAGAATCTTGGGGGTAGGGCAGTATGTAAGGGAACGAGATTCCCCCACCCTCACACCTACCCCTTTGCTCATAGCTCCATTTGCTTCTCTGCCCACACAGCAAATCAGGTGACAATTCCAGCTCCAGTCTGGGAGATGTGGTGACTGGCACCCGCCGCCCCACGCCCCCTGCCAGTGGTAAGAGCTGCCACCTCCCCAGGGAGTTAGGGGGAGTTTTGGGTGGGGTGGTCTCCCCACTGCCTTTCCCCTCTTTCCCCTGCAGTAGGGGGCACCCCAGTCCTGAGTCCTCCACACACATCCAGTGGTCCCCTTTACATGAAGAGTAGGATACCCCACAAGCTGGGCCCATCAGCGCCCATCCTCTCATGTCTCTCCTCTCCCATTTCTTTGGGAGCTCCATCTCTCTGCCTGACTCCCCCCTCCCCCATTCATTTCTCCCAGCCCTGTTCCATTCACCTCTTCTTCTTTCTTTTTTCCCCACCCCCTCCCTGCGTTCTGTCTTTGTGTCTCCATGTCCATCTCACTCCTCCCCACCTCGACTCCCTCCTCCCTCTCTCCTGACTCCACGGTCCAGGTAACGAAATGACTAACTTAGCCTTTGAACTAGATCCCCTAGAGTTAGAGGACGAGGAGGCGGAGCTTGGGGAGCATGGCGGCTCTGCCAAGACTAGTGTTAGCAGTGTCACCACCCCGCCACCCCATGGCAAGCGCATCCCCTTCTTCAAGAAGGTAATTCTTGCTGAGTTCTTACAAGAGGGGAGGGGGTCAGGGCCCAGGCCTTTGGCAGGGGAGGGGGCTGGAGTCGATTCAGATGTGGGAGCAGCCTGACTCTGTGGGGAATTGGGGCTTTTTGCCAAGGAGGCGAGAGGGGTGGGATGGCGCAGAGGACAGACAGATCTATCTCCACACACAACCCTACCCCGGCCCCCTCTGCAGGAAGGGATAGTTCTTGTAATTGAAGCGCCCCTTCCCTTGCAAGCTGCCCCACTCCCACCAGAAGTAGGGTCTGGTGGTGATGAACCGTGACCTTTCCTCTCACTACCAGTGGGATATTCCATGTTTGCTGCCCACCCCCGAATGTGAAGGGGGAGTGGAACAGTGACCCTTCTTTGCCCTTTTCAGACTCCATGGGTCTAGAGTGGGCATGTGGGAGTCTACTGGCTACAGAGCAGGACCAGTTAAGGGAACTCTTAAAATGGGGAGATTGGCTTGTGCTGGGGGCAAGAGGTGGGCACCAAATTAGGGGCTGTCACTCTTCCCAGCTTTTCCAAGACCCAGAAAGGGGTCTTGGTATGTTTGAATATTCTCAAGCCCACTGGACTGACTGACAGTCCACTCCCAGCCCTGACCCGGGGCCTTCTTTGGCTCCCCCTGGCATGGGGTCCCGTCACCTCTCTCTGGCTCTGTCTGTCACTAACACGCATGCCCTGTTATCTCTCCTCGTCTGCCCGCTCTCCCTCCCTCCCTCTCTTGTCCTGGCTCCTTCCTTGCCCTCTGCCCCTGCCTGGGTACCCTCCCTTCTCTCCCCACCCTTCCCCCTCTTGGCAATCTCTGGACCCAGCCAAACAGAAGCAGAAGTCGGTGAGTATTACAGCTTTCTGTGTCCCCCTCCGCACCCCCTGGGATGAGCTAGGGGGAATCTTCTAACACCCATTCCCATATCTACCCCATTTCCCCCACCCTTCCTGGTTCTCCCTGGCCATCCCTCCCCACCCTCACCCTGATCCCCACATCTGGGCTCTGGGACCAAGGGGACAAAAGGATGCATGGGGGAGCCTGGAGGCTGGGGGAAAGGGGCTAATGCCATCTCCACTCTGGGGTTTCCCCTCCCTGCTTCCCCTCCAGACAGAGCATGTACCCCCCTATGACGTGGTGCCTTCCATGAGGCCCATCATCCTGGTGGGACCGTCGCTCAAGGGCTATGAGGTAGGAGCCTGTAGAGGGGAGTGGACCCAGAGGGGCCCAGACCTTCAGAGAGACTCCAGAGGTTCAGACACCAGAGAGATTCCTTCAAAGGGCCCAGGTTCCTGGGTATCCTCCCCAGAGGGCTACAGACCTTCAGAGAAATTTCCCAGAGGGGCCCAACCCATAGGGAGACCTCAGAGGACCCAGTTCCTCCCCCCAAAATCCCCAGAAAAGTCCTCCCAGAGGTACCACCTAGAAGGACCTTTGGAATCTGAGAGCTCCTTGGAGGCTCCTCAGACTCAGAAGAACCCCCCTACCCCCAAGGTCCCATTCATCTCAGAAATTAAAGAAAAAATTGGAACGTGAGGCTGTATATACCCAGCAACCCACCCTTGCTGAATGGCTTTAAACGCCTGACTTCTGCTCCCACCCCAATCCCCACCTTTAGGTTACGGACATGATGCAGAAAGCTTTGTTCGACTTCTTAAAGCATCGGTTTGACGGCAGGTAAGACCTTGGGAGCTAGCTTCTCACTCCCACTGTGTTCCTTTGCTGCTAGGGATGGGCAAGATGGCTTGAATGATAATTTTGGGACTCTTGGACTGAGGGAAACGAGGCAGGCCTGGAGCCTGGGGAGTGGGCAGGGCAGTCTAGCCCACCTGACCCCTAACTCCCTTTGCCCCATCCCCCAGGATCTCCATCACTCGTGTGACAGCAGACATTTCCCTGGCTAAGCGCTCAGTCCTCAACAACCCCAGCAAACACATCATCATTGAGCGCTCCAACACACGCTCCAGCCTGGGTGAGTCTACCCCTCAATCGCCCTCTCTGGAGCCAGATGTGGGAGGGGAGGAAAGTGGGGGAGCATTTCCAGAAGTGTTCTATCCACCCACTGCCTCTTGGGGGGGCTCCCTTACATCCCCCCTTCTCCATGACTCCATGTCCTCCCAGCTGAGGTTCAGAGCGAGATTGAGCGAATCTTCGAGCTGGCCCGGACCCTTCAGTTGGTTGCTCTGGACGCCGACACCATCAACCACCCGGCCCAGCTCTCCAAGACCTCACTGGCCCCCATCATTGTTTACATCAAGATCACCTCTCCCAAGGTGAGTGCAGAAGTCTGACCCTAGAGGGGACAGGAACGCTCAGGAGTCCGGCTGCCCATTTAAATCCCAGCTACTGCTTACTAATTATGTGACTTAAGTGCCCCAGCCTTACTTTCCTTCTCTGTAAAACTCTATCACATGGATATTGTGATGAGTCAACCTAATGTGAGTACTTAGTACTTAGCAAAGGGTCTGATATAATGTGCCTCATCATGTGTTAGCTATTAATATGTAAATATTAAGTGTCATGAAGGCCAGTCCCCTATCTCTGCTCTGGTTGACCTCCCATCCTTGATCCAGAAAACTGAAAGAATTCAGTGCTTATGGTCCCAGGTGTCACTCAGCTACTTTGACAGTTGGGAGGTTTTTTCTGTCTTGATTTCAGCCCTTTTTGCTGCACTGTCCTCGTGTGGACCTTGATAGAGATGAAATCCGTAGGAAGGCTGATTTGCTCCTTTGTCATACTGTAGCTCCGTTAGTTTTCCCTCCTAGATGTTAATGGGGGAGGAACATAGAGGTGAGTGTAAGTGAAGAAGTGGGGGTTTGAGACACATGGAGGGCAAGTGTGGGTGAAGGATTTGAAGTTAGAAGACAGCATGGGGTTCAAATCCTAGCTCTGGTTGGCTTATTAATTTATTAGCTTTTTTTTGTTTTTTTGGTTGTTATTTTTTATTGAAATTGAGGCGTTTAACCCTCGATTTCTTCACCTACGGAATGGAGATTATAATCCCTCCCTTACGTTATTGTTGAGAGGATTTGAGGTAATGATGTCAAGAGCCCAGAGTTCATGATGGCATCCAGGGGTGGTAACAGTTATTACCGCACGATAGCACCCTGTGAGCTGAGCATCCAGTTACTTAACCTTAACTTTTCTGATTCCTAAGTTTCTGATGAGCATAAAAGGGATGGTAGGGTCTCGGTACTTCCTGGGGTGGCTAGAGGATCCAATAAAATAATGGATGCAAAAACATTGTGATCTAGAAAGTGACAGGCACATCCATTTCCCCCATGGATGAGCACTGGCTGAGGTTAATGGTGGGGACTCTTTGAGAGTCCAGACTGCCTGGGCTTATGTCCCAGTGCTGCCACTTACCAGCTCATTCTCCTTTGGCAAGTCACCTAACATCTCTATGCCTCGGTTTCCTCGTCTGTAAAATAGGGATCCTCAAATGGTGGTTTTGAAGATTAAATAAATGGATCAACCATGCAAAGTGGCTGCTACCTACTAAGCACTGTATCTATACTATTTTTTAAAAGATTTTTTTTTTTACAGAAGAGTTGCAAAAATAGTTCAAAGAACTCTTTACCCTTGGATGCTCTTCACTCTGATTTGCTGATTTTTTTAATATATGTTTATTGATTTCAGAGAGAGGAAGGGAAAGGGAGAGAAACATCATTAATCAATGGCCTCCTGCATGCCCCCTGCTGGGGATCGAGCCCGCAACCCAGCATGTGCCCAGACCAGAATCGAACCGTGATTCGATTTTTTAACAGCTAATTTTTTAACAGCTTTATTGAGATTTAACTCACATACCAGTCAATTCAGCCATTTAAAGTATACAATTCAATTTTTTCAGATTCACTAATTTTGAATATTTTGCCACATTTACTTTATGTATGTATATATTACGTACACATAAGCATTTGAGAGTAAGTTGTAGATATTGTATGCCTTTTTCCCTAAATACTTCAACATGTATGTTGTTGTTTTTTTAAGTTTTTATTGATTTTAGAGAGAGAGGAAGGGAGAGAGAGATAGAAACATTGATTGGCTGCCTCCTGCACGCCCCCCCACTGGGGATCAAGCCTGCAACCTGGGCATGTGCCCTCACCAGGAATCGAACCAGTGACCTCTTGATGTATGGTTTGATGCTCAACCACTGAGCCATGCTGGCTGGGCAACATGTATTTCTTAAGAACAAGGACATTAACCACAGTATAACTGTCAAATTCACAAGTGCTATCTAACATGCAGCCCAGCCTGGCTGGGCGTGGCTCAGTGGTTGAGCGTCGACCTAGGATCCAGGCGATTGGGGTTCGATTCCTGGTCAGGGCACATGCCCGGGTTGCAGGCTCCATCCCCAGTCGGGGGTGTGCAGGAGGCAGCTGGTCAATGACTATCTCATCACTGATGTTTCTGTCTCTCCTTCTCCCTCTCCTTTCCTTTCTCTGAAATCAATAAAGATATATTTAAAAAAATAATAAAATGCAGCCCATCTTCAGTTTTCACCAGTTTTCCCAATAATGCCCTTTATGGCAATTTCCCCCTCAACCCAGGATCATGTGTTGCATAGCTTTTACATCTCTTTAGTATTCTTTAAGCTGGAACAATTCCTCCACCTTCCTTGGGTTTTCATGACACTGACATTTTTGAAGAGTACATATCACTAATTTTGTAGAATGTTCCTTATTGTGGGTTTCTCTAATGTTTTCCTTATGACTTGATTTAGGTTTTACATTTTGGGTTGGAATATCACCAAAGCCATGTGTCCTTCTGAGTGCATTGCTTCAGGAGGCATATGATGTTGGCTTGTTGCATCATTGGTTAATAATAGTAGTGGCCACCTAATGGGATTATTGTTGGGACTAAATGAATTGATCATGTAAAAAGTACCAAATAGTGCCAGTGCATAGCAAGTGACCCATAGCATGGCTGTTAACATGGAGGGAAAGTTGGCCTGGACAATGAAGCCTGTGAAGAAGGTTAGAGGGGCTGGATTGTCTGCTCTTCATACAGCCACTGTTAGGAGAACTTCCCAGGACATGTCGGCATGAGACCCAGGAGAGAGCCTGAGCATTGTGTAGGATAGATACAGAGCTGATGAGATGATTTCTAAAGAGGTGGCCAGGGCTAAGAGGCATTAAACATCCCCCAGCCATGACACTGGCTCTCCCCACTAGCTTCAACCAGGACCTGCCTCTCTGACTTGGTGCATTGTAGAGGTCTCTCTAGCTCCTCTTCTCCCCCCAAACCAGGTACTTCAGAGGCTCATCAAGTCTCGAGGGAAGTCTCAGTCCAAACACCTCAATGTGCAAATAGCGGCCTCGGAGAAGCTGGCGCAGTGTCCTCCTGTGAGTGCTCAGACCCAGGGGAAGGGGGGGACATTTGGATTCTGGTTTACTCTGGCCTGCATGGGAGACAGAGTGACCAGGAATATCTAGGCTGGGTCCATAGGTGCAGACTGGTCTTCCGGGAAGGAGTGCTGGGCAGGCAGTCAGAGACTGGCTTCAAGCCCCAGAAGTACCACTTCTCTGGGGAGACTAAGCCTTGGTTGCCTTAAATCTAGAATGAGGGAGTTGAACTATGTGGGTGCCAAGATCTTCTATAGTTCTGCCAATGCATATATCTGAGAGCTCTCCTCTTTCTGGACATCCAGAAGTCTGTTTTTAACTTTGTCCTTCAACCCCTTGACTCTCCAACCACTGTGCCCAGGCCACACCCTCACCCCCTAGGTCATGCCTGGCTCATCCTAGACCTGCCTCTAACCCCACCTCCACAGGAAATGTTTGACATCATCCTGGACGAGAACCAGTTGGAGGATGCCTGCGAGCACTTGGCTGAATACTTGGAAGCCTATTGGAAGGCCACACACCCGCCCAGCAGCACTCCACCTAACCCACTGCTGAACCGCACCATGGCTAGTGCAGCCCTGGCTGCCAGCCCTGCCCCTGTCTCCAACCTCCAGGTACAGGTGCTCACCTCACTCAGGAGAAATCTCAGCTTCTGGGGTGGGCTGGAAGCCTCACAGCAGGCCAGGGAAGTGCCCCAGCTGCAGGAACACGCCATGTAGGTTGCTCCCCTCTACCCCGCAATCTCCCCTCCTGCCCATGGCCCGGAACTGGAGCATAGGGAATGTGGGAAAGGAAGAAAAGAGCTTTATTTTGTAAAAAAATGTGGTGAGCAGCAGTTTTCGGTGTCTGTGGTTTTTGGTGGGGTTGGGGCTGACTGGTGGTGCTCCTTGAGCCAGGTCCCATAGGACTACATCTGCTGCCTTGGGGGCTTTTGGGTATGAGGCCTGACTGGGGGCCCTGTAAGACAAGTCACTAGGAAGAAAACATGGGGAAGACTGATAGATTCATTTACTGGACTCCATACCCATTTTAGACCCAGTAGTGGTCACAGCATTGTAAACCCAGCAGAGCAGGGAATCCCACAGAGCAGAGGCCTTTAAACCCAGAGAGACTGTCCCCTCCCCTAGAGCCCAAACCACAGGAGGCCCCTCAGAAGGGATCTAGAATATATCATCTTCTGTGACTGATGCTGAGCCTTCCATTCTTCTCCCAGTTAAACGAGTTCCAGGAAAGGCTCTCTTGTGGGTGCCCTGCCCTGCCTCTCGTGGGAGCCATGGCCCACCTCTGAGATCCCATCAAGTATTTGATTTTCTATTAGAGCCAGAAAAAAAAAACCATTCTAGACCATTGCTTTTCAGATTTGTTCACTGAATCTTATGTGGAAGCTCAGTATATAGATAAGGCATCCTTGCTCTGCTCAGAGGGAGCTAGTGGCTTGGTTTCCACTTCACCTCCATGGGCACCTCTGAAGCACTCTGTGCCCTCCCTACTCCATCCCAGATCTCTGGGGAACAGTTTGGAAACTGCTGCTCTAATCTTCATCACACACCACAGAGAAACTGGGCCACAGGAAGGGGATTCATTTGCTTAGGGTCACACAACTTAAAGGGGCGGGACTAGGACCCAGGCCTCTCTGCACCCACCCAACAGTCTCTTTAATGGAAGTGGCCATCAGGTCATGTGGCATTTGCAGCTGAGGACATTGGGCCACCTTATCATCTCCTGAGGGGATAGAGACCCATCAATCTTACCTGTCCTGCTGCTTTGAGTCTTTGCTGGGGGCAGAGGAGGGATTCCATCATTTGACTAGGGGCAGGGAGTGTGGGGTTCTAGAAGCCTCTGATTAAGGTCTGGTTTGGGCTGAAGGAGCTGGGGTTAGTGAGCTGGAGCTGAAATCCCTTTAGTATATTTAGAAAACTGGGGCAATGACTAACCCAATCAACCACTAACCAGTGGCAGTACTAATGAGCTGTTGATGATTTACCCCAAGACAGCATTAATGACGTGCGTTGAGGAATCAATGACTAAATTGTTCATGGGCTCTGTACCGCAGTTACTGAGAGAGCTCCCATCTTTTCAGCCTTAGGAAGGTTGGGCGCCCCCTGTCCTAACAAAGGAGCAAATGCCTGAGATCTGTCTGGCTGGGCTCCAGAGCCCTTTGCGGGGCTTTATCCCCTGGAGCCAGCCCTCTCCTCCCTCTGCCAGGCTGGTGCCTTGGTGCCATCACTAACCTGCCTTGCTTTGTTGTGTTTCTCTCACCCCTGCCTGATCTGCATGGTATGTGCCGTCTGTCTGCTAACCAGGGACCCTACCTTGCTTCCGGGGACCAGTCGCTGGAACGGGCCACCGGGGAGCACGCCAGTGTGCAGGAGTACCCGGGGGAGCTGGGCCAACCCCCAGGCCTTTACCCCAGCAGCCACCCACCAGGCCGGGTTGGCACCGTGCGGGCACTATCCCGCCAAGACACGTTTGATGCCGACACCTCTGGCAACCGCAATTCTGCCTACACGGAGCTGGGAGATTCATGTGTGGACATGGAGACTGACCCCTCGGAGGGGCCAGGGCTTGGAGACCCTGCCGGGGGCAGCACCCCACCAGCTCGTCAGGGATCCTGGGAAGATGAGGAAGAAGACTATGAAGAGGAGCTGACTGACAACCGGAATCGGGGCCGGAATAAGGCCCGCTACTGTGCGGAGGGCGGGGGACCAGTGCTGGGACGCAACAAGAACGAGCTGGAGGGCTGGGGACGCGGTGTTTACATCCGCTGAGAGGCAGGGGCCCCGCTGTGGGAGGCAGGGCTCAGGCCAGGGGAAGGGAGGTACAGCTGGCTCACCACGGAGGTGTATCTTGCCTCCAGGGGGCGCTGCCTCCTTTCAGATGCCTTTGCTCAATGTTTGGGGGTTTCTTTGGTGGTAGCATCCAGCTCCTGGGACTCCCTTAAGCCCCAGCGGTAGGTTTTTACCTACGGTGGATGAATGGGGGATGCCCACCTTTCTGCAGTGTCCCCTTTTCCCCACCTCAGGGGGCCTCTCTCCCCTCTTCCAGAGAAAAGGTGCACTTCCTTAACTCTACTTGGGGCTCTAAATGAGCGTCCTAAATGGGGTGGCCCTTTTTCCAACCTGGAGTTTTTGGGAAGGGTAGGGGGCTTTTCCTGGAGAGAGAGACCACAGACTTTCCAATGAGGGTTCTCTTCCCTAACTCCAGATCCAGGGTCCCTCATGCCCAACCCTCCCTCTGCATTCCCCCTTACCCACCCCCCCCCAGCTTTCTGGCAGCATTGTCTGGTAGGAGAAAGCTACAGGATGGAAGCCCCTTGGGGAGGAGTCTGGGTAGAAACTGATGGGCATCAGATGTAGTGCCCTCTGCCTGCCCAGGACGTAACCCCGAGGAGTGGGCAATTGGAGATGCTGCTACCCTTCCCCCACCTCCATGCCTCAGCCTTCACCTGCCCCAGGAATGAGCTTTGCCTACAACATCCTTTGCCTGCTGCCATCAGAAGAGGGGCCCTCCACATCCCTGTGTCACCTGGGTGTGGAGCTCATGGAACATTTGGTCCGCCTCATTTTGAAACCAAAAACTGCTCATTCATTCTCACCCTGAAACCCCAGGAGAGGCCCTTTGGGTTGGTGCCCAAGAAATGATCACCACCCCAGGGGTTGTCTCGGGACCATGGATCTCCCCTGGGGGGCTTGGCTGCTGCTGCTGCTCTGTATTTGCCTCCTGTGATCCTGTTCTTTACCTATGTCCACTCCATTCCTCCCAGGAGAGGCCTTCATACCCCCTCTGACCTGGAGTGTCCCTCTGCCTAGCATTCCCCAGCCCAGCAGCCCTGCCCCTCCCCAGCCTCCCAGCTGGGCCAGGGAGAGCCGATTGTGCCAACGAGGACTGGGCCTTGCCCGGCTGCCCACCTCAGGGATGGGCACCTCATGCCTGTCTCGCCACCTCCTGTGCCAATGTTGTCCCACCCCCCACCTGGGGGTGGGGTGCAGCTTCCACTTACTGGTTAGAAGAGACCACTGCCCAACCTTACCCCCTCCTGTCTGGTATCATGTGCCCCCATCTGTCTGTCTGTCTTTACTCCCCTAGGAGAAGTATTTTGCCACATATAAAACCGCCATCCTGTCCTTTGCGGCAGCCTCCCAAGCCTGCTTTGTTTCCACCACACGGCTGCCGGCCTAGGCATGCAGGAGCTGCTGACATGCAGAGGGATGGAAGGGGTAGGTGCAGGAAGAAGCTGTGCCTAGAGTTGTTTACTCCACAGGAGATGGGGCTCTGTTTTGTGGCTCACTGATGCATTACATTCAAGCCTGACAGGAGCTATGTGGACAGTCTCAGTCCCCACTCAGCCCCAAACCCCACCCCTAACCCATCTCCCCATAAGTAGAGCCAGGGAAATGGGAAGCTGAGGCGGAGAAATGGGATATCATGGGTGTTGTTCAGTGGGCGAGATCCAGACCTATTGGCACAATGTCTTAAAGGCTTGTGTTTGTTTTTCTGCTCCTGTGGCCTCAGCTGCTCTCTAAGAGGAAGGGACCAAGTTTCCAACTTTCTCCACTAAAGCCCCCACAGCTACCCCCTTCCCAGCCTCTGCTAATCAGCCTTTGGGGAGAGGGCAGAGAGAAGGGGGATTTCCCCAGTCCCAGCTTCAGAGAAAGATAGCCAGCAGGTGACTGCCAGTTCCTGCCATCAGCTGGCAGGATGTGAGCTTCTGAAGGTCACCTGTATCCTGTCTCATGGCACCTGGTTCTTGATTTTGGGGTGGTGGTGGACCTGAAGAACTAGAGCTCCTGGGTCTTGAACCTGAGTGCTCCTCTATGCTGTGTGTGGTTGTGTGTGTGTGTACAGAGGGCAACACATCCAGACCCCTCCAGATGAGGGGTTAGTGAACCCAAGGAAAGAGGAACGGGGCAGTCCCGCAGATCAAGTGGCTGGCCCAGTGTCCTTGGGGAGTTGATGGCAAAGCTAGCACTGCTGGGACTGGAGTCTGGTGTCTGCCCCCCAAATGTAGTGTTCTTTGCACTGCCTTTCAATGCAATCCATTCCCATGCTTATTCATTGAACAGACATTTGCTGAGCACCTACCAGGCACAAATCTAAATAGGAGCCACAGGAAATTCAGGACACCACAATGAGTTCTCTGACGCCAGAAGCACTGGGTTCTGGGGGAACCTGGAAGAGGGATTACTCCCTAAACCCAAGGAGACCAGGAGAAGCTTCCTGGAGGAAGTAAGGCTTGAGCAGAGACTAGAAGCAGAGAAGTGGGGAAAATGTTGAAGGCAGAGGAAGGTGACACACAGGACATGCTCTTGGACTTCACTAGCAAAGCATGCTCTCAAGGTAGTGGTCAGAGAAGGGTCGGCAGGAGCAGGTCACCGTGGGCCTTGAGTCATGTTAAGGGGTTTGGGCTTTGTCCTGAAGCTGGTGTGCAGAAATCTAAGGTGTGTAAGCAGCGATGGCAAATTTGTCTTGGTTGCAGTTTGGAGCATAGATCTGAAGATCTAGCCTGGAAACCTGCAATACTCCAGGTGAGAAATGAGAATGGCCTGCATTAGGGCTCAGCAGTGGAATGGGAAAGGAGGCTATGGCTGTCAGAGATATCTAGCACTTAGACTGGAGAGTTCTTGAGCAATAGGTGGCCAGTGAGAGAAGGAGATGTCTGGGGTGACTGTAGGTTACAGAGAGAAAGCAGGTTAAAGGCAGAAACAATGTCTAGCTTTGGACAAGGTGGGTTTATGGTGCTGGGGGAGGACATCCAAGAGGAAAAGAGAAGACAGCTGACTGCTTGGTCATCCTACATGGAGCCTGATATTTCAAATCAAGGCAGGGATTATTAACTACCGTTTACAGATAAAGCTTAGAGGGGTTAAGCAAGTTGTCCATAGTTACACGGCCATGGAACGAGAACTTGGACTCAGATCTTTGAATTTCAAGTTCTGTGGTGTCCATGGTACTCAAGTCTAGGGTTAATTCCCCTGCCCCAGAATGGCCCAGCTTCTGTGAGGGGAGGGGTTTGGGGAGGAGGAAGCAGGTGTCTGAATGTTTTTGTCTCCTCACCATGTGCCTTCTGCCTGAAATTGCATTTGCTCAGAACTTACAGGCAGGGGCACCTCTAGGTGGCTTGGAGATACTGAGAGAAGAGAGAGATTCTTGTCTCTTGGTAACCACAAACCCTCAACCGACACAGCACGCTGGCAGTTGTCAACATGTGAAGACGTCAACAACTATGTAGTTGACTCGGACTAGGCCCACCACCAAAGCCACCTCAGGGGCTCAGGAACTGAGGCGCTGGGAACCTCCTACCTGACTAGCTGCTTCTGGCTTTGCAGTAGGTTCTGAACCAGAGTAGTCCTAGGTGTGACTGAAGGTTCCCACCAATAGAAAATAAAATGAGCTGAGCTGGGCCACCACAGCCCAGAAGCGAGGGGGTGCTTTAGTCTAATACTCTAGAGAATAAAGTCTTGTCTTCGCTCCAGTGATCACATCCTCAGAGAAGTGTGCCTTGGCGCCCTTCTAAATCAGGCCATCCCAGGGTTTTTTGTTTGTTTTAGTGTTTTTATTTTTGGTGTGTATATTTGTGTCCCCACTAGACAGAAAGCTCCATAAGACCCAGACTGGGTCTATTTTGTCTACTTGGCATGTTTCCTAATTCCTGACTCATATTTGTCAAATGAATGAAATGCCCCTAAGATCCAGGCTCTGGGCCTCACAGCAAAGGCTTGGCTCTTGTCTGTTTACTGAATGTGCTCCAGCTAGCCAAATGTCACTTTCAATTCTGCAATTGGTGGTGATGGTGGAGGGGGCAGGGTACACTAAGAGGCTCCTCCCCGCCTCCTACCCCCAGGAAACAGATGGTGAAAATGCTTAACACATTGCTGCTTCCCTCAGCACCCTTCTGTGCCCTCACCCTACTGCACCCCAGCCGCAGCCCAGCTCCTTTTCTAGGGCTGAAATGGAATCAGCCAGATGGGCTCCACTAGCCAATTCTTCCTTCTAACACTGCTACAAAGCTGGGTGGGATGAAAATTCTGTATTTAGTGAACTGTTTTCTCTTTTCACAAGCTTCCCAGTGTTCCTCAATGCTCTTCAACTTGTACTCACACTTTTTTTTTTTTTAATACTCCAAAAACACTTCTCAGGCTGTAGCCTAACTTACTGTACTTCAATCCAGTAGCAACACATTCCTACTGTGTGCCAGGCACTGGGAGAGGTGGCGAATGGGGGAGTACACAGGTAAACAAGACATGAACCCTGCCCTCTAGGACTCACAGGTGATGGGAAGAAACAGGCATGCCACTCTGCAGTTTCAGTGTGGAGAGAAGCTCCATTTGGCTGGAGGACCAGGCCAGAACTTGGGAAGTAGGTGGCTTTTATGGCAGGCAGCTAATGGGACTCAGGAATCCTCCTTTCTGAAAAGGGGGAAGGAAATGCAGAAGCAAAAAGCACAGTTGGAAAGAGCTGTGCATGTGTGAGCAAGGACCAGTAGTGCAAACATGGGAGATAAACTGCAAAGCCAGACAGGGGCTGTTCATGGAGGCTCTTGAATTTCAGCTGAGGAGACTGATCTGAACCCAGTGGGCAATAGGGAACCATTGAAGGTTCATGAGCTGTGGAGTGACAGACTCTGAAAGGTTAAGAGGGCTGTGAGGAGGATGTCCTGGTAAGGGGAGACAGAGGCAGGGAGACCAGTTAGAGGGTCATTCCCTTAGTGAAGAGTGCACTAATGAGCAGTGGCAGTGGGGTGGAAGGAGCCAGCTCTCTCGTGTGATGGCTGGTGTGTCTCCTAACCACCCCTGCAACCTAAGGTTGGTTTGCCTTCCCCACTTCTCTTTTTGTTTTCTGGTTTTCCCCAGTTTAAGCAAAGAAGGAAATTCACAAACAACAACAAGCAGCCCCCCTTCCTGTTTCCTCCTCTGCTGGGTCTTAGAATCTGGAATCCCTCTGTTGAGTCTCTGGCTGAGAGATGTCTGTTTTGCTCCACCCCTGTCTTCAGATGCCTACCCTCTGGGATAGCTGTGCCTGAGCCATCGGTTTTTCTATAAATCATAGAGTAGGACTGATTTATTCCTAGAAATTGCCTATCACCAAGGGACCTGCAAAAGGAGGGATACCCTGCCCTGCCCCAAGGGAACTGACTCCGAGTGGGCCTACAAGACCCACACAAGTGAACAACGGGAGATCTGTTGAAGGTCAGAATATTCTCCCAGCTCAGAGAGGATCAATGAGCCCTGTCTACCCCACACAGCTGGTAGGTGCAGAAAGTGGATGGCCAAGGTTGTGCTTTAGCCTCATGCCCCAGACATGGCACTTGGAGAAGGGAGAGCTGGGATCTGGTCCTGAGAGTCTGTACTGAGTCTCCTGGATTCGCAGTGGGGGAGCAGTTCACCCAGAGAACTCTGGAGCTTTCTCAGGGTGAGGGAAAGGATGGAGTCTGAATCCCATTTTCCTTGCACCTCCAGGGCTCTGGACAGGCAGTCTGTTGTCATCGTGACGTCCATAGCCCCCCCCCCCCC